GTCCCAGCTACTTGGGAGGCTGAGGCAGGAGACTCACTTGAGCCCAGGAGTTGGAGGTTGCTGTGAGCAGTGAAGCCATGGCACTCTACCTAGGGAGACAGCTTGAGGCTCCGTCTCAAAAAAAAAAAATTTTTTTTTTCAGTTCATTTCCATTCCTTAAGTATTGCTTATGACTGTTTTGCAGCTACAAGGGCAAAGCTGGTAATAATGACACAGAGCGGCCGGGCTAGACAGGTCTGAGTTATATGGCTAAACAAAAACCCACTTAGAGACCAGTGAACATTTTAGTTTTATTTGCAGGGTTTCTTGACCACCGCCCTCCTGATATCTGGACCAGGTGACTTTTGTTGTGGGGGCTGCTACACCACCCACTGTAGAAGGTGGAGAGTCATCCCTAGCCAGGAGCACTCCTCCCCAGTTCTGTCAACCAAAATGTCTCCAGACACGACCTCTGGGGGGCAAACCCACCCTGATTAAAAACCACAGGCTTGACTGACGGGTAGAGGTTTTACCAGAGCAACGGTGGTTAAAACTACGAATGTCTTTACACAGGACAGGGGGCTTTCAAGGCCACACTAAGGACTTCAACACGAAAGCTTTCACTGAAAGCTGTAAGCGGTAAAGAGTTGTCAGGACATTATTCCACAGGCCCCAGGTGACACAGTTGGAATGCAAACTGGACAACCACCTTTTTGCAGGGTCATTTGAAAGTCAGATGTGCAAACCCTTTGCTGCAGCCGTTTTATTTCCAGGAATACATACAGGAACATACATATAGGAAAAGGGCAGAGGAAACAAGAGGCTCCCTGCAGCACGGCTACACTAACAAAAACTGGAAGCCTAGGGTGGCGCCTGTGGTCCCAGCTACTTGGGAGGCTGAGGCAAGGGAATTGCCTAAGCCCAGGAGTTGGAGGTTGCTGTGAGCTGTGTGATGCCACGGCACTCTACCAAGGGTGATAAAGTGAGACTCTGTCTCTACAAAAAACAAAACAAAACTGGAAGCCTACGTGGCTATCAAGGTAGAATGTGGAAAACATGCTCTGTGTACCCAGAGAGTAGGTTTTATGTGCCCATTACAGTCACAGAAAAACATGAGACAGGGCTGGGCGCGATGGCTCATACTTGTAATCCTAGCACTTTAGGAGGCTGAGACAGGCAGATTGCTTGGGCTCAGGAGTTCAAGAGTAGCCTGGGCAAGACTGAGACTCCACCTCTACTAAAAATAGAAAACCTAGCAGGCATCGTGGTGGGCATAAGTAGTCCCAGTTACTCGGGAGGCTGAGGCAGGAGGATCACTTGAGCCCAAGAGTTTTAGGCTTGAGCTATGATGATGCCATGGAACTCTAGCCAGGGTGACAAAGTCAGACTCTGTCTCAAAAAAAAAAAAAAACAACCAAACCTCCCCCACCCCCCAAAACAAAAACCATGAGGCAGATGCACTTATACTGATGGGTTAAGATAACCAAATCACACTATAAAGTAAGAAAAACAAGTTGCAGTGTGGAATAGTATATACAATAAGATCCTCTTTGTAGGCTCGGCCCCCTTAGCACAGTGGTTATGGTGCCAGACACATACACCCAGACTGGTGGGTTTGAATCCAGCTTGGGCCAGCTAAACAACAATGACAACTGCAAGAAAAAAATAGCTGGGCATTGTGGTGGGCACCTGTAGCCCCAGCTACTCGGGAGGCTGAGGCAAGAGAATCACCTAAGCCCAGGAGTTGGAGGTTGCTGTAAGCTCTGATGCCACAGAACTCTACCAAGGGCAACATAGGGAGACTCTGTCTCAAAAAAAAAAAAAATCTTCTTTGTAGAGAAAACAAAATGAACAACATAAACATGTGTGCATATATAAAAAAGCTTGGAGATATTTAATATAGGTTCATTATGCAAACAAGTACTTTTTTTTTTTTTTTTTTGCAGTTT